TCTGCTCACTCACTTTGCATTTTGTTCACTGATAGAAAGGATTCTTACTTTACAGCATTTTTCCATACCAACTTGTGTGGCCCCTGGTGTTGTGTTACGCTGGTGACAGACAGGATGTGAGACAGGCTGACAGTGGTAGGTAAATTCTCGAGCGAGCACTGGCCTGGATCATTTGTATCACATAATAGTGTACAATAGATTATCAGTGTTTTCTTGCCAGATTGACTCACAGCATGCAGAACAGATGCTGAAACGACTGGAAGCTGCAGTAGCTGAGCTCTGAGCAGTCCTATTGGTATACAGCGCTCACTGGCATTGCCCTGTGGAACTGTGTTAGGGTTATACATCGCCCTCTGCTGGTGGTCAGGTGTAGGTGGATCTACCTGAGGTTCTCTCCTCCTTCACAGCACTGATGGTTCAGTTTCTGTGGTAGTGCAGATACGAAGCTGCTGAGATGAGCCAGTTCCAGAGCTTTCCATAGATCCTCATCTGAGCAGGTTTCAAAGGGGTCCAGGTTCAACCTCAGAGAACCAGAAAACAGCACCGGGTCCTGGGAATGAAAGGTCAGGGGTCACCTCAAAGTGTGTGTGTTTTTCTGGGCTGGCACTCTCGCCTCTCTCTGATGCTGTACTAACTATATGAATGTAAATGCTCCGTACTTGTATGTAGTCTTTTCGACCACTCAAAGCGCTTTTAAACTACATCTGCATTCACACACATTCATTCACTGAGCCTAAGTGCTCAAACATAGACTAACACAACAAGTACTCACTGCAAGTTATACTAAATGTATGAAGTACTCACTGCATGTTATACTAACTGTATGAAGTACTCACTGCATGTTATACTAACTGTATGAAGTCGCTGCATGTTGTACTAACTGTATGAAGTACTCACTGCAAGTTATACTAACTATATGAAGTCGCTGCATGCTGTACTAACTGTATGAAGTACTCACTGCAAGTTATACTAACTGTATGAAGTACTCACTGCATGCTGTACTAACTATATGAAGTCGCTGCATGCTGTACTAACTGTATGAAGTACTCACTGCATGTTATACTAACTATATGAAGTACTCACTGCATGTTGTACTAACTATATGAAGTACTCACTGCATGCTGTACTAACTATATGAAGTACTCACTGCATGCTGTACTAACTGTATGAAGTACACACTGCATGTTATACTAACTATATGAAGTACTCACTGCATGTTGTACTAACTATATGAAGTACTCATTGCATGCTGTACTAACTATATAATGTACTCACTGCATGCTGTACTAACAATATAAAGTACTCACTGCAGGTTATACTAACTGTATGAAGTACTCACTGCATGTTGTACTAACTATATGAAGTACTCACTGCATGCTGTACTAATATAAAGTACTCACTGCATGTTATACTAACTGTATGAAGTACTCACTGCATGTTGTACTAACTGTATAAAGTACTCACTGCATGTTATACTAACTGTATGATGTATTCACTGCATGTTATACTAACTGTATGAAGTACTCACTGCATGCTGTACTAACTGTATGAAATACTCACTGCAAGTTATACTAACTGTGTGAAGTACTCACTGCATGTTGTACTAACTATATGAAGTACTCACTGCATGCTGTACTAACTATATGAAGTACTCACTGCATGCTGTACTAACTATATGAAGTACTCACTGCATGTTGTACTAACTATATGAAGTACTCACTGCATGCTGTATTAACTGTATGAAGTACTCACTGCATGTTATACTAACTATATGAAGTACTCACTGCATGCTGTACTAACTATATAAAGTACTAACTGCATGTTGTACTAACTGTATAAAGTACTCACTGCATGTTATACTAACTGTATGATGTACTCACTGCATGTTATACTAACTGTATGAAGTACTCACTGCATGCTGTACTAACTGTATGAAATACTCACTGCAAGTTATACTAACTGTATGAAGTACTCACTGCATGTTATACTAACTATATGAAGTCGCTGCATGCTGTACTAACTGTATGAAGTACTCACTGCAAGTTATACTAACTGTATGAAGTACTCACTGCATGTTATACTAACTGTATGAAGTACTCACTGCATGTTATACTAACTGTATGAAGTACTCACTGCAAGTTATACTAACTGTATGAAGTACTCACTGCATGGTATACTAACTGTATGAAGTACTCACTGCATGTTATACTAACTGTATGAAGTACTCACTGCATGTTATACTAACTATATGAAGTACTCACTGCATGTTGTACTAACTATATGAAGTACTCACTGCATGCTGTACTAACTATATGAAGTACTCACTGCATGCTGTACTAACTGTATGAAGTACTCACTGCATGTTATACTAACTATATGAAGTACTCACTGCATGCTGTACTAACTGTATGAAGTACTCACTGCATGCTGTACTAACTGTATGAAGTACACACTGCATGTTATACTAACTATATGAAGTACTCACTGCATGTTGTACTAACTATATGAAGTACTCATTGCATGCTGTACTAACTATATAATGTACTCACTGCATGCTGTACTAACTATATAAAGTACTCACTGCAGGTTATACTAACTGTATGAAGTACTCACTGCATGTTGTACTAACTATATGAAGTACTCACTGCATGCTGTACTAACTATATAAAGTACTCACTGCATGTTATACTAACTGTATGAAGTACTCACTGCATGTTGTACTAACTGTATAAAGTACTCACTGCATGTTATACTAACTGTATGATGTACTCACTGCATGTTATACTAACTGTATGAAGTACTCACTGCATGCTGTATTAACTGTATGAAATACTCACTGCAAGTTATACTAACTGTGTGAAGTATTCACTGCATGTTGTACTAACTATATGAAGTACTCACTGCATGCTGTACTAACTATATGAAGTACTCACTGCATGTTATACTAACTATATGAAGTCGCTGCATGCTGTACTAACTATATGAAGTCGCTGCATGCTGTACTAACTGTATGAAGTACTCACTGCAAGTTATACTAACTGTATTTTAGTACTCACTGTATGTTATACTAACTATATGAAGTACTCACTGCATGCTGTACTAACTATATGAAGTACTCACTGCATGCTGTACTAACTATATAAAGTACTCACTGCATGTTATACTAACTGTATGAAGTACTCACTGCATGTTGTACTAACTGTATAAAGTACTCACTGCATGTTATACTAACTGTATGATGTACTCACTGCATGTTATACTAACTGTATGAAGTACTCACTGCATGCTGTACTAACTGTATGAAATACTCACTGCAAGTTATACTAACTGTGTGAAGTATTCACTGCATGTTGTACTAACTATATGAAGTACTCACTGCATGCTGTACTAACTATATGAAGTACTCACTGCATGTTATACTAACTATATGAAGTCGCTGCATGCTGTACTAACTATATGAAGTCGCTGCATGCTGTACTAACTGTATGAAGTACTCACTGCAAGTTATACTAACTGTATTTTAGTACTCACTGTATGTTATACTAACTATATGAAGTCGCTGCATGCTGTACTAACTGTATGAAGTACTCACTGCTTGCTGTACTAACTGTATGAAGTATTCACTGCAAGTTATACTAACTGTGTGAAGTACTCACTGCATGTTGTACTAACTATATGAAGTACTCACTGCATGCTGTACTAACTATATGAAGTACTCACTGCATGCTGTACTAACTGTATGAAGTACTCACTGCATGTTATACTAACTATATGAAGTACTCACTGCATGCTGTACTAACTGTATGAAGTACTCACTGCAAGTTATACTAACTGTATGAAGTACTCACTGCATGTTATACTAACTATATGAAGTCGCTGCATGCTGTACTAACTGTATGAAGTACTCACTGCAAGTTATACTAACTGTATGAAGTACTCACTGCATGTTATACTAACTGTATGAAGTACTCACTGCATGTTATACTAACTATATGAAGTCGCTGCATGCTGTACTAACTGTATGAAGTACTCACTGCAAGTTATACTAACTGTATGAAGTACTCACTGCATGTTATACTAACTGTATGAAGTACTCACTGCATGTTATACTAACTATATGAAGTCGCTGCATGCTGTACTAACTGTATCAAGTACTCACTGCAAGTTATACTAACTGTATGAAGTACTCACTGCATGTTATACTAACTGTATGATGTACTCACTGCATGTTATACTAACTGTATGAAGTACTCACTGCATGCTGTACTAACTGTATGAATACTCACTGCAAGTTATACTAACTGTGTGAAGTATTCACTGCATGTTGTACTAACTATATGAAGTACTCACTGCATGCTGTACTAACTGTATGAAGTACTCACTGCATGTTATACTAACTATATGAAGTCGCTGCATGCTGTACTAACTATATGAAGTCGCTGCATGCTGTACTAACTGTATGAAGTACTCACTGCAGTTATACTAACTGTATTTAGTACTCACTGTATGTTATACTAACTATATGAAGTACTCACTGCATGCTGTACTAACTATATGAAGTACTCACTGCATGCTGTACTAACTATATAAAGTACTCACTGCATGTTATACTAACTGTATGAAGTACTCACTGCATGTTGTACTAACTGTATAAAGTACACTCACTGCATGTTATACTAACTGTATGATGTACTCACTGCATGTTATACTAACTGTATGAAGTACTCACTGCATGCTGTACTAACTGTATGAAATACTCACTGCAAGTTATACTAACTGTGTGAAGTATTCACTGCATGTTGTACTAACTATATGAAGTACTCACTGCATGCTGTACTAACTATATGAAGTACTCACTGCATGTTATACTAACTATATGAAGTCGCTGCATGCTGTACTAACTATATGAAGTCGCTGCATGCTGTACTAACTGTATGAAGTACTCACTGCAAGTTATACTAACTGTATTTTAGTACTCACTGTATGTTATACTAACTATATGAAGTCGCTGCATGCTGTACTAACTGTATGAAGTACTCACTGCTTGCTGTACTAACTGTATGAAGTACTCACTGCAAGTTATACTAACTGTGTGAAGTACTCACTGCATGTTGTACTAACTATATGAAGTACTCACTGCATGCTGTACTAACTATATGAAGTACTCACTGCATGCTGTACTAACTGTATGAAGTACTCACTGCATGTTATACTAACTATATGAAGTACTCACTGCATGCTGTACTAACTGTATGAAGTACTCACTGCAAGTTATACTAACTGTATGAAGTACTCACTGCATGTATACTAACTATATGAAGTCGCTGCATGCTGTACTAACTGTATGAAGTACTCACTGCAAGTTATACTAACTGTATGAAGTACTCACTGCATGTTATACTAACTGTATGAAGTACTCACTGCATGTTATACTAACTATATGAAGTCGCTGCATGCTGTACTAACTGTATGAAGTACTCACTGCAAGTTATACTAACTGTATGAAGTACTCACTGCATGTTATACTAACTGTATGAAGTACTCACTGCATGTTATACTAACTATATGAAGTCGCTGCATGCTGTACTAACTGTATCAAGTACTCACTGCAAGTTATACTAACTGTATGAAGTACTCACTGCATGTTGTACTAACTGTATGAAGTACTCACTGCATGTTATACTAACTATATGAAGTCGCTGCATGCTGTACTAACTGTATCAAGTACTCACTGCAAGTTATACTAACTGTATGAAGTACTCACTGCAAGTTATACTAACTGTATGAAGTACTCACTGCATGCTGTACTAACTGTATGAAGTACTCACTGCAAGTTATACTAACTGTATGAAGTACTCACTGCATGCTGTACTAACTATATGAAGTCGCTGCATGCTGTACTAACTGTATGAAGTACTCACTGCATGTTATACTAACTGTATGAAGTACTCACTGCATGTTGTACTAACTGTATAAGTACTCACTGCATGTTATACTAACTGTATGATGTACTCACTGCATGTATACTAACTGTATGAAGTACTCACTGCATGCTGTACTAACTGTATGAAATACTCACTGCAAGTTATACTAACTGTGTGAAGTACTCACTGCATGTTGTACTAACTATATGAAGTACTCACTGCATGCTGTACTAACTATATGAAGTACTCACTGCATGTTGTACTAACTATATAAAGTACTCACTGCATGCTGTATTAACTGTATGAAGTACTCACTGCATGTTATACTAACTATATGAAGTACTCACTGCATGTTGTACTAACTATATAAGTACTCACTGCATGCTGTATTAACTGTATGAAGTACTCACTGCATGTTATACTAACTATATGAAGTACTCACTGCATGCTGTACTAACTGTATGAAGTACTCACTGCAAGTTATACTAACTGTATGAAGTACTCACTGCATTATACTAACTATATGAAGTCGCTGCATGCTGTACTAACTATATGAAGTCGCTGCATGCTGTACTAACTGTATGAAGTACTCACTGCAAGTTATACTAACTGTATGAAGTACTCACTGCATGCTGTACTAACTATATGAAGTCGCTGCATGCTGTACTAACTGTATGAAGTACTCACTGCATGTTATACTAACTGTATGAAGTACTCACTGCATGCTGTACTAACTGTATGAAGTACTCACTGCAAGTTATACTAACTGTATGAAGTACTCACTGCATGTTATACTAACTATATGAAGTCGCTGCATGCTGTACTAACTGTATGAAGTACTCACTGCTTGCTGTACTAACTGTATGAAGTATTCACTGCAAGTTATACTAACTGTGTGAAGTACTCACTGCATGTTGTACTAACTATATGAAGTACTCACTGCATGCTGTACTAACTGTATGAAGTACTCACTGCATGTTATACTAACTATATGAAGTACTCACTGCATGCTGTACTAACTATATAAAGTACTTACTGCATGTTATACTAACTGTATGAAGTACTCACTGCATGTTATACTAACTGTATGAAGTACTCACTGCATGCTGTACTAACTGTATGAAGTACTCACTGCAAGTTATACTAACTGTATGAAGTACTCACTGCATGTTATACTAACTATATGAAGTCGCTGCATGCTGTACTAACTGTATGAAGTACTCACTGCAAGTTATACTAACTGTATGAAGTACTCACTGCATGTTATACTAACTGTATGAAGTACTCACTGCATGTTATACTAACTATATGAAGTCGCTGCATGCTGTACTAACTGTATCAAGTACTCACTGCAAGTTATACTAACTGTATGAAGTACTCACTGCAAGTTATACTAACTGTATGAAGTACTCACTGCATGTATACTAACTATATGAAGTCGCTGCATGCTGTACTAACTGTATCAAGTACTCACTGCAAGTTATACTAACTGTATGAAGTACTCACTGCAAGTTATACTAACTGTATGAAGTACTCACTGCATGCTGTACTAACTATATGAAGTCGCTGCATGCTGTACTAACTGTATGAAGTACTCACTGCAAGTTATACTAACTGTATGAAGTACTCACTGCATGTTATACTAACTGTATGAAGTACTCACTGCATGTTATACTAACTATATGAAGTCGCTGCATGCTGTACTAACTGTATGAAGTACTCACTGCAAGTTATACTAACTGTATGAAGTACTCACTGCATGTTATACTAACTGTATGAAGTACTCACTGCATGTTATACTAACTATATGAAGTCGCTGCATGCTGTACTAACTGTATCAAGTACTCACTGCAAGTTATACTAACTGTATGAAGTACTCACGGCAAGTTATACTAACTGTATGAAGTACTCACTGCATGCTGTACTAACTATATGAAGTCGCTGCATGCTGTACTAACTGTATGAAGTACTCACTGCAAGTTATACTAACTGTATGAAGTACTCACTGCATGCTGTACTAACTATATGAAGTCGCTGCATGCTGTACTAACTGTATGAAGTACTCACTGCATGTTATACTAACTGTATGAAGTACTCACTGCAAGTTATACTAACTTTGTGAAGTACTCACTGCATGCTGTACTGTTTAAGAATTCACTGCAAGGTGTACTACAGTATTTGTACTTTAATATTTAGGGCTAAGCTTGTTGACAATTATTTTATTGAATGTAAACACATTTTCTATTCTTATTATTTTGAAAGTCCGCTGCTCTCTGACTCTGCAGGCGCTCTATGGAGAGTAACCATGTCAACTTTTCTTGTGCGCTACACAGCTGTAGCCTGTTTAATTAAACTTTACCTGATAGGCTCATCTAGTTTTGCGGGGACGCTCTGCCGTGTGAATTCCCCCCTGCTGATGTCCTGTTTACTCCCAAACAGCGAGGATCAGTCTCTTATCCAATGATTTGTGCTGCGCGTCACGTACAAAAAGTTCAAGATAATGCTTTTTCTGCTGCTGTCTGATAAAAGACAAATGTTTCTGCTGATACCTGAAAACAGATTTCTATCTGTTCACCTGCTGCTCAGAAGGAGCCTGTTCTGATGTTCTGATCGTGGCTCTGGACTCTAACTTGTTTTACCAAACTAGATAAAAGGTAACGGCCTGGCAGCGGCAAATAGCTTTGGTTTAATATTTGATTTGATTACATTAATGTTTAAGTTGAGATTTACAAGAAATATTTTAGTGCTGCTGTGTAAAGGGAATACTGCTGGGAAAAAGCTCCTTATTTGTTTAAAGCACTTTTGTGTTTATAGCAGTACATTTAAATTAAAAGTGGGAATACACTACTTTAGAATTCATTATTACATTTTGCGCATAACAATGTGATTAATTGCGATTAAAATTTTAATTGCACTAATAATATTTGTGCTGTAGTATTTCCAGTGCACTATAATATTTGTACTACAGTAGTGTGAGGGTACTATAGTACTTGTGCTGCAGTATTTGCAGCACTGACCTGAGGAATGATGGTGATCCTGGAGCGGAGATCATGCAGGCCGATCTGAGCGATGTCGATCCCGTCAATAAAGATCCGTCCCTTCGCTGCCTCCAGAATCCGGAAGATCCCCAGAGCCAGAGAGGACTTCCCAGCTCCCGTCCTTCCAACGATCCCCACCTGCAAGTTCATTCTTTTAATCAACTTGTCTTCAGAGGATTTATTACACGTCATAAATTCATACAACTGTAACTGACCACTGTCAAATGAATACGAATATTTTCCTATTAGATGGATTTATTTCACTTTGGTACTCTGAGTGCAGATTAACACCACATGTATATTTTTACTCTGATCGTTTCTGACCTTTTCTCTGTCCTGGATGTTGATGCAGATGTGGTTTAAAGCCCAGTCCAGACCTTTACGGTACTGCAGTCCGTAGTCTTCAAACTGGATGTTTCCTGTGGTCGGCCAGGCTGCCGGCAACCAGCTGCCCTCGAGGGTCCACGCTGCCTGGGGAGACACATCGGGTCAGTAAGGTCAACACTAAAAACACTGATGGTTCAGAAGAAGCAGAAGCACATTAATAAAATACTTTCTACACGTTAAGCTTCAGACATGTTGGACTACGAGCCACAGATTTCAGTTTCCACATGAACCAGGTCCAGTTGCAGACCTCTTTAGGAGTGCTGTCGTACTCTTTGACTCTCTCCACCGACACAATGTTGTTCTCCACATCAGTCCAGGATCGAACAATCCAGCTCAGGATTCCCGTCACCTGCAGAAACACAAACCCTCCATCACTGAAGCTGAAGATTTCTTACACTGCAGAGCTTTCAGCGAGGCCTCTCTGACTCACTCCTGAATTTTAACAAACACAAATGACTGTCATTTATCTGAGGTGTTCTTTCAACACAGATGACACAGGAGTCAAAGGGAGTCGAGGCAGCGGTCTCTCTGAAACACTGCAGCCCGTGAGGAATCAAGTCCTGGTTGGCTGATTAATTAAAAATGACTAATTATAACTGTATTATTTCTAATGGCAGCTTTGTATTAAATAAGCTTTGCTTATAAACACTGCAGGCCTTTAGTGTTTTTTGGGTTAGGTGTCCAGTGTCAGGTATACTTTTATGGCAAACATACTGAATACGTACTGAAGTTGTAGAGGAAATGGAAAAGCATCTGTAATCTCCCTCAGAACCACTTTTAATAAAAAGTTTTGAACCTGGAGAGACTGTGACAATGCCAATCCCACGATGCCCGGGCTGAGTTCACCCCGACCTCGCACACAGAGGACGGCTGCAGCCAAAACCAACAGATTCCCCAAAAACTCCAGGTTCACTGCCAGCCATCTGACAGAAACACATTTAATGACAAAATACCTGAGTATCTGAGAAAATGAAATACTAAAACATGACAATACTGTGAGGGTAAAGTATTAGTACTACTCAGGAGGTAGAAATCAGGGACAAACACACTGAACAACTATAGAAACATTACAGAGAAAATATTCAAATAGACTATATTATACTATACACTACAGTTGCACTGTAATATTTATTTACTCATACACTGATGTATTGTAATTATGTATTACATTTTAGTCATTTTAGTCAACAACATTGCATGTTAATATAGTCCCAGTCAGCATCCAAGGACATTGTTGCTGTCTCGTCCCCCCCAGTGTGACCCGTCCACCAATGTGTCCCTGAGCAAGACACTTAACCCCTCGTTGCTCCAGAGGCGTGCAACCTCTGACATATATAGCAATTGTAAGTCGCTTTGGATAAAAGCGTCAGCTAAATGAAGAGTATTTCTGTTGTTTTATGAGTTTCTGATTCTGAAATACCTTTAAAGTACTATCACACAGAAAAACCTTTGAAACACTCTGGTGTGTTTTCAGTATGAACCTGGTGGCGACGAAGCGAGGGAAATAAGCTTCCTGATTGTTGTCAATGCGGCGGTTGGCCTGCAGGATGAAGTGTCGCTGTTCACAGAAGGCTCGGATGACGCTGGCGCCCTGCACCGTCTCATTAAAATGGCTGTAGATAGGCGAGCGACTCACCGCCTCCAGCCGTCGCAGCTGACACGACGCAGCCACATAGAAACTCTGGAGAACAGAAGCATAGAAAGCAATACTTACAGGGAGGCTGAACCTCATATGTCCAGATGACGTTCAGGAGAAACCTTTACCTGTATGAAGCCGTAAACACAGGTGAGGGGGAGGAGCACCAGCCCTGTGAAGGGTGTGGCCAGCAACAAAATGATGCAGATCTCCAGCAGCTTGAACAGGTAGCCCAGCATCATCTTTAGCCCATCAGGAATCATGCAGTCGATTGCATCGATCTCTTTGGAGAAGCGATTCAGAAGGTTTCCGCTGGGCGTGACCTCAAAGAAGGTCATGGTTGAGTGCAGGACACTGTGGAGGAGATCGGCGTGAAGGTGACGCGATGCTACAATACCTCCCAGAGCGATGGCAAGGGTCGTCCCGAACATGGCCATCCCTGAAACACAGAGAGGAACCTCAGTGAGCTCTGTTCTGCTGAATCATTCAGAGGGAACTCAAAGGTGTTGAGGTGTATGACAACCCTTGACCCACCCTGCGTGAAGCCCAGAGCTGCAAACACGCTCAGCTTCAGCTCGTGGTCGCTCTGCGTGCCATTGACGGGCGGGTCATCGGCCCACAGGCTCAGCCAATAGCTGTAGGCCAACGAGGCGGCCTGCTGGAAGGCACAGAAGAAGATGATGGTCATAATGAAGGTCAACCCGACGGTCCTGAAGTACTCTCTATACATCTGCAGCTTGACCTGACAGCAGAAGAAGAACACTGTTAATATCACACACTTCCTGTTTATTAAATTTTAAAAAATGGACATTTGTCACTGTGCAGCTTTCACCACTGAAAGTCTTGTTTTTTTATCTTATTTCAGGTCTTAGATGAGGTGGAACCACAATCATTTCCTTAGTTTAGCTCCTGTGGCTATTTAGTACCAGGAAGTTCTAGCTGAACACAGTTTTTATTTTAGGTAATCATTTTAAAGGTAGCTTTGTGAATTTTCTGTAAGTCCATGATGCTGCTGCCTACATAATAATACTGATACAAATATTACTCATATTGATGAAAAGAAGGACATACTCTCCCTATATGAGCTTTGTCAGCCTCTGTAAGTTTCCCAGCATCCTCAGCACAAAAGACTTGATCAACAGCTTCCATCATCTGAACACTGGCACTGCTCATATCACAGCTGGAACACACAAACACATAGACATCATTAATTACACAGATAAATAATGTGACGGTAACCCCCCCCCCAACCGGTGGAGGCAGATGGCCGCCCACCCTGAGCCATGGTTCTGCTCGAGGTTTCTGCCTCTTAAAAGGAAGTTTTTCCTTGCCTCGGAACTGTTGGGCTTCTGTAAATATCATCACAGAGTCGGTCTAGACCTGCTCTTTATGAAAAGCGCTGTGAGATAACTGTTGTTGTGATTTGGTGCTATATAAATAAAATTGAATTGAATTAAATATATCAATGCTGAATAATTCAACGCTGATTAAATCAAGGCTGAAGAAATCAACCCAGAATAAATCAACGCTGAATAACAGTTTTCTCACCTGATCAGCTGCTCCTGAGAAAGATCGATGGAGAAATCAGTCATACTGAGGCGAGACACCGACTTCCTGCTGCCTACAAAAACACACACACACAATTATCCACATACACACACACTGCACATACAAATATGCACAGTTTAACATGTATTACTTTACAACAATGACATTTTGATTGTATCAGTGAGCTTTGCACCTTTATACAACTTTGTTTGTTTTTCTCCTTGTTCATGAATAAATATGATGCAAGTTATCCTTTAATAACATTCAGGGATTTTCATGCCGCAGATTTTCAATACTGAGTACAAATGTCACTGTGGACTAAACTGTGTATCACGTTCCATTGCTTGTACACAAGTAAAATCAAAAATATAGCCACAAGCAGCAATGATCGGGATCGAAGCAGGTCGCAAAAAATTAAATTTGCAACCCACCTGCCAATTTTCGTGTTTCCAAGTTTTTTTAGCAGAGAAAAATAATAATAAAAATTCAAAGGGTCCAGTTGGAATAGGCAAAAATTGACTCACTATGGCCTCAACAAATAATAGAAAACACACGACATGGGTGTAAACCCCCATTGCTGGCAACTGGGACTTGGACCCTGGAACTTTGTATCCACAGAACAGGTCACTTCTTGACTGAGCCGGTGGTAAGAGTTAGTTTCCAAACACCTTCTCACCAGTTGAGGTAGTGACACAACAGTCAAGATGTTGGTGAGAAAATTATGAAAATAATCAGACATCATTCTGCTGGTTTTGGGTGTGTTGTCACTCATTTTGGTGGCGTTTGATCCAACACTGAGCAGAAAAGACAATGTTGTGCATACTGTACAACTCATAGTAAGATACTGAACATCACTGCAGACTCACCATTTGACCAATCTAAAAGCCCTTTGAAACGCTTTATATTGGCCATATAGAGAATGTGCATGTTGATTTATCATTTGAACAAAGACTTGTGGAGATATAGTTGTTAAAAATACAGAGTGACTGACTTCTGAATTGACCATATCTGTGATTGTGCTGAAATAATTCCACCTCTCTAGGATGTACGGTTGATTTTCTTAAATTGTTTGAAGTTTGGAATGAGAAATGTCTAGAAATTTACCTTTATTGTAATAAGCCACGCCCACTTTAAGCAATCATTACTAAACTTTATAGATCAGCTTAGCAGTGACCCTAGATAGTACAGACTGATTTTTTTATGAATCCATGCAGCAGATTACAAGATATAAACTTTTTCACAGGTGTGCCCCCTAGTGGAAGAATATCTCAAGACTGCTCAGCTTTCATTTAGGCCCGATTAATAGGAGGGATTTGCAACCTGGGCTCTTCCTGAGCTCTGGTTAGTTTAGTTACTGTCGTTTTATTCCTTTCTACTAAGAAGTTAAGTTTTTACTCTTGCCTCTGGGGGTGGAGCTCTCTCTGAACTGGTTTCCACTGAAGGTGCGGATGAATTTGGCAAAGGCTCCCTTCCTGTCCATCAGTTCCATGTAGGAGCCCATCTCAGAGATGTGACCATTCTCCATCACCAGGACCAGGTCTGCTTTAGACAGGAAGCTCAGGCCGTGCGTTACCAGCACTCTCGTCTACAAAAACACATCGAAACACATATTACAAGGTTTAACAGGACTTTGGTCAGCTGCATGGCCGGCAGTGGCCATATACACATTATTGAGAAATCTCCGGCTGGTGCTAAAGTTCGGTCTGCAAGACCGGACCACAGAAAAAGACATTCCGGACTTTAGGGTACAGATGTACACTCAGTCCAGGTTACAGGGTTCTCCTGGTCCTTCGTGGCCAGAACTCTGAGCGGGATGCAGTGGTTGTAAACTGGGGTCTGAGTCACCAGTAACCCCTCCCAAGCAGGACTGTACTTCTTCTTTTGTGGAGGTGGAGGGCAGCTTGGGATGGCTTCCACTTTATCCATTTGTGGACTCACTCAGTACCTGGGCTACCAGCTAACAGAGGACAGCTAGTAGCCCAGCTACTGCGTCTCCTGCCTTAACCCTCAAAAGTCATCATAATGTGTATACTACAGTGATATCAGATGAATGTATTAATAGTTATATGACCATAAAGACGAAAAATAAAAACAGAAATCGAATCTCACAGAACTATATTCAAATCACATTGAAAAATTTAATGAACAATAATTTGGGTTTCTCTGAATTGTTCCCCTTAGTCTTGGCAATCAGGGGAAAAGAAATTAACTGTCTAACAAACACACATCAAAAATTACATTAACTTTTATGTGTGTCATGCAAGCAATTTTTTGGCTGGCTGAGCAATGCTGCCTACTACATGTGGTCCTTTTTCATGTCAAGAAGTCAAACAAAACGTGTACAAACCTCTGTGGTAAAGATAAACTAGATCTTGCCATGCACCCAAGACACGCGCCCTGGACGTGTGACATATGCGACGGAGAATCTACACATATTTATTACATTTACCCACTTCTACACATTATTTCAGGTGTTGCCCTGATCATATAGATTTATTTATATGGGGATGGGGTAAATCTTATGTTATTCCATTGTGCAATGCGTTTGAGATCAGTGCTACCACACACATGCCTACACAGTGTCTGATTGGTCAACATGTCAAAAGAGGAGGAAAGATCGATAAATAATCACAGAAGACGTTTGGTGGTGGATGCATCTTTATGGATTACAACGCTTCTGAGAGTGACACGATTGCACTCATTGACATGGCACAACAATAACCTTCAAGTCAAAAAAACCATCTGTCCATCTGTTTCTGTATTCCACAGAAAAAACAAAACAGTAAAAATGGTAGTGGTACTGACAGAAACTGAATATTGGTACTAATGAATATAGTAATAATAATCATAATACTAATAAGACTAATAGTAATAATAATTGTAGCAGAGGGTGTCGAGCAGGAACACGGGGGCAGCAGGTGACCCTCAACCACAGATCCAGACTCCACAGCTCCAGAGCCAGAAAACCTGCAGGAAGTGATAGGAGGAGAGAGGAGAGGGACGAGAAAGCACAAGACTACCAGAAAGGGGAGAAGTAACATACATGAATGGGATGAGGTTGCATACAGAGGGAGAGAAAGGGAGAGAGAGGCTCAGTGCATCATGGGAAATCCCCTGGCAGTCTAGGCCTATAGCAGTATAACTAAGGGATGGTTCAGGACTCACCTGAGCGTGTTCCACCCAGGTGATACTGAAAATCACAACATAGTCATGGTAGGATGCATAGCAGACTTCCAAATCCTGGAGGACTTTTGAAGTAAGTCTAAAAGTCATCACAGTGAACTTGAAGAGTCAATCAGGTAACTTCAGAATTACATGCTCATTGAGTGTTGTTTTGCCATGATAAGTAGTGATGGTGCTTTCTGAAGGTCTGGAAGGAGTTGACATCCATGCTTAATTTCTTAGATAAGAAATTGTATCATGTGACGTGTCCCTTCGTGGTTGCCAATTATGAAGGTTTTCCCTTGTCTTGGTGGACCTCGGGATGATATAGCTCCATTGGTGTTTTAACAAAGATGTAATGATTACCTGTGCCTGAAACCACTTTCCCATGGTGAGATCCTAGCAATCATGAGAAGTGTGCCGCATGGTTCTGCACACGATTGGTGGGAGTCGTGTGAAATTTCAGAGTGTTTTCCTGGCGTCGTTTCTTCCAGAGGACTATGCTGACGTTATGGAAGAAAAAATTTGAACCAGGGTGCAGGGCAGAAATGAGTCACTTTGTTACTTCGTTTTCTCCTTTCAAGCACTTAACATTTGCCCTCTTCAGCCACAGATGTGCAAATCTATGAATCCCTTTCTGGAATGTCAGCTCCGTGGTTGGGTTACTTCCATAGAAGAGCTGGTCTGACTCAGAAGTCAGATTGAAAGAGATCATGAAAATCAAAAAAGGTACATGAGGACAATAAAAGAAACTAAATAAAAATTAAAATAAAAGCTAATGTTACTACGGAAAGAACTGTAAATAGAGAAACTGTTTTGCTGGTATTGACATGGACCATGCACCGGGCTCCTGCCCTCAATTTCATGGCCCCCCAAGTAGCCTAAAGTATGGGAAGCAGCAGAAGTCGCAAAACAGACTGCAGAACCAGATAGAAAGGGTTCCATGGCTACCTGTGCTAGTCAGCCTGGCAACAAGAACCGCCAGAGGCAAAAGTCTATTAGCCTGGAAGAGACTCCAGCTTGTGCACTTGTTAGTCTGAAACAGTTGTTCGTGCCCGTCACTGTACGCCAGCATCATGGGAAAGCACTTGTGGACTACTTACACATTACTGCACGCAAACCTCTGGAGTAAGATTAAGGGCCCAAATGAGTCCCTCATATTGTGGCAAGGTGGCCCAATGTATCTTGCAAATGTACTTGTGTATCCATTGGTCCTGGGGTTAGATTTTATGGCCATAAGTGGTCTCCTAGTTAATATTTAGGCCCAGGTGTACTCTTTTCCTGGTGATGACTAGGCAAGAGTTTTCCCTTTCTAGCCTCTCCTGTCCCCTGCTGAAAGTTGGGGTGACCTGAACATGAACAGGACACTTACATTTACATTTACTCATTTGGCTTTTATCCAAAGCAACTTACATTTGAGGAACAACATACAAGCATCAACAGAGCATCAAATACAGCTGACAATAAATACTAGTAAGAGCTCATAGTACATATCACATCAATGGGGTAAATACCTAGGGAAGGAAGTAAGAGTTAACAAAAAGTGCAATCAAAACAAAAAAGTGCAATCAATACAAGATAATTGTAGGTGATAGATGAAGAGCACAGGAAGTGCATGTTAGAGGTTAGGAGTTAGAGGTGTTATAAGAGGAAGTGTTCTCGGAAAAGATTCATTTCAAGAGCTTCATGAAGTTAGAGAGGGACGCCCCTGCTCTGATGGCGTGTGGTAGCTCGTTCCACCATCGTGGTGTCACAGATGAGAACAGCCGGGACTGGGATTGCTTTGTGTGAAGGGATGGCAGAGCCAGGCGGCGTTCGTTGGAGGAGCGTAGTGGCTGAGAAGGAACGTAAGTTTGTATTACGGAGTTTAGGTAGATGAGTGCAGACCCAGTAGTCACTCTGTATGCAAGCATTAGTGACTTAAATTTGATTCTGGAGGCCACGGTGAGCCAGTGGAGGTCACTGAGTAATGGAGTGACATGAGTCCTTTTGGGCTGATCAAAAACCAGATGCGCTGCTGCGTTCTGAACCATTTGTAAGGGTTTCACCGCACAAGCTGGGAGACCTGCTAGGAGGGCATTGCAATAGTTGATGCAACAGATAACCATGGCCTGTACCAGAAGCTGGGTGGCATACTGAGTGAGGTAGGGCCTGATTTTCCTTATGTTGTATAGAGCAAAGCAGCACGACCGAGAGACAGTAGCAACATGGTCTGAAAAGGACAGCTGGTCATCAATCATGACACCCAAGTTTCTCACCACCTTGGTTGGAGTGATGGTTGTGGAGTCAATTTGTAGTTTGATGTTATGGTGGATAGATTGCTTGGCTGGAATGACCAAGAGTTCAGTCTTAGAGAGGTATAGTTGAAGGTGGCAAGCCTTCATCCATGCAGATATATCCGATAGACAGTCCGTGATCCGTGCCGAGACGGTGGGATCGCCTGGTGGGAAGGATAGGTAGAGTTGCGTATCGTCTGTGTAGCAGTGGTAAGAGAAGCCGTGCGAGTGAATGATCGGCCCACAAAACATTGTAGGAACGCCCCGAGAAGTAGGATTTGAACCACAGGACTGCTTTACTCGAGATGCCCATTGCTGAGAGAGCGGATAGCAGGATCTTATGGTTGACTGTGTCAAAGGCAGCTGAAAGGTCAAGCAGGATAAGAACCAAGGATTGGGCTGCAGCTTTAGTTGACCTTAGGGCTTCTGTTAGTTGGTCATTCCATGAGAGGAATTCTGAGACCTGTTTGAATACTGCCCGTTCAATAGTTTTGGATAAAAAAGGTAAAAGAGACACTGGTCGATAGTTCTCAACTTGAGTTGGTTCAAGTGAGGGCTTTTTGAGCAAGGGTGTAACCTGAGCCCTTTTGAAAGTGGTCGGGAAGGTTCCTGAAGTCAAAGAAGTATTTATCACATGAGTGATTGTCGGGACCACAGTAGGAGATATGGCTTGGAGGAGATTCGTAGGAATTGGGTCCAGTGGGCATGTAGTTGGACGGCTATGGGTCAAGAGTTCTGATACTTCGCTCTCTGTGAGAGGAGTAAACGAAGAGAGTGAACAACCACCTGGGAGGGCAGAGGAAAAGATGTAGGAGGACTGCTACAATGGTTGAGTTTGAGTGTTTCAGAGAATTGGCTAGTTATAGCCTCCACTTTGCCTGTGAAGAAGGCAGCAAAGGTATCAGCAGACAAGTTTGTGGGTGGTGGAGGTGGATTTAATAGCGCTTTAAAAGTGGAAAATAATTTCCTTGAGTCAGTGGCACTGCTTATTCTGTCATTATAGAATGCAGTTTTGGCAGCACTGATGCTTGTTGAGAAGGAGGATAGGAGCAATTGGTAGCCCTTAAGGTCAGCAGGGTCTTTGGTTTTTCGCCATTTTCTTTCAGCCGCTCTGAGATCAGTATGGAGCCCACAGATGGTATCAGTTAGCCACGGGTGGGACTGGTTTGGGCGAGCAGGCTTGGTGGATAGAGGACACAGGCTATCCAGGCACAAGCTGAGTGTAGAGCACAGAGATTGTGTGGCATCATTGACCTCAAGTGAGGAAAATGTGTTGAGGGAGGGTAGAGCGGAAGGTACAACTGAGGCAAAGTGAGTGTGAGACAGGTTGCAGAGGTTGCGGCAGTGTGAGACCAATGGTGTTGGAAGAATGGGCTTTTCCTGTAGGCATACCGTGAACTGAATGCAATAGTGGTCAGACACATGTAGATGTGTGACTGTTAGGCACTCTGTGGCACAATTTCGGACAAGAACGAGGTCAAGCACCTTGCCAGCTTTGTGGGTCGGGGGGCTGAGAACCCATGTTAGATCAAAGGACTGAATCAGAGACAAGAAGTCTGCTGAGTTTGAATTGTCTAAGTGAATGTTCATGTCACCGAGGACAAATAGGGGACAGTCATGCTCTGGGATTGAAGACAGCAGTGTGTCTAGCTCCTCCACAAAGTTACCCATTTGTCCTGGTGGACAGTATATGACAATCACAGAGACCTTTACCTTGAGCGGACACAAAGACAGCATGGCATTCCAAGGAGGCATATTGATTCGGGGATAGCAGCTGTGTGAATTTCCATTTGTTGGAAATTAAGAACCCAGTCCCACCCCCCCTCCCAGATGGCCGGGGTGTGTGGGTGAAAGAGTAATTGATGGACAGTGCAGCGGGGGTAGCAGAGTTTTCTGGTTTGATCCAGGTCTCAGTGAGCGCCAGTAGCCCAAGAGATAATGTGCATAAGCAGTGATGAAGTCAGCTTTGTTGACTGCCGACTTTTCTGGTTTGATCCAGGTCTCAGTGAGCGCCAGTAGCCCAAGAGATAATGTGCATAAGCAGTGATGAAGTCAGCTTTGTTGACTGCCGACTTCTGTACACTTCCCTGGCACCTACATTACCGGTGATAGTCTGTGGGACATAGCCTGGTTGCCTGAGGGAGAGGACTTGCACAGTTTTCTCCATACTGCTGGTGTGGACAGTACTTTAAAGGGGAGGGATTGTGATCAATTGCACCAACCGTTGCTGAACAATTCCCGGGTCTGCATGACCATTTTAGGCCACACCTCAGTGCTCAACCATAAAATCCGATGAGCCGATAGCGCCTTTCTAGTCTTTTCGACCGCTTTTACACTACATCTGCATTCACCATTCACACACATTCATACACTGAGCCTAAGTGCTCAAACGGAACCTAACATTCACACACATGTATGAGTATCTTGCCCAAGGACATTTCGACACACAACCAGGGGGAGCCAGGGATTGAACCGCCGACCTTCCGATTAACGGCCAACCCGCGCTACCTCCTGAGCCACAGCCGCCCCTATGTGTGTAGATAATGTGTGATGCGTGATGTTGTGGTTTCCCAGAGCCCCTATCGATCGCCCCTACAGAAGCGGTAGATTGTGTAAGAGCAAATCCAAGATATGCTCCAGCAGGGTATTATTGTGCCTTCCAGTTCACCATGGGCGTCCCCAGTGGTGCTGGTACCCAAGAAGGATGGTGGGCATCCCCAGTTTTGTGTCGATTTTCGTTGTGTTAATCAACATAGTGTTGGAGATGCCTATCCTGTACCAACCATTTCTGAGATACTAGAATCTCTAGAGGGGTTCAGTTGGGTTCACCACCTTAGATCTCAATAGTGGTTGTCGGCAGGTTGAGATGGTCCCTGAAAGTCAAGCCCTCACGGTGTTTGTCACGTGTTTTGGACTGTTCTAATTTTGAGTTATGCCTTTTGGCCTGAAAGGAGCCCCAGCTACATTCCAGAGGCTGATGAATCAAGTTCTCCAGAGCTGCCTAGGAGACTTCTGTATGGTGTACTTGGATGATATTGTAATTTATTCCAAGGATGTCCATACACACTTTCATGACGTCCAGCGAGTGTTTGATTGTCTCCACTCAAATTGAAGAAATGCCACTTCTGTCGCCCAGAGCTTAAGTTCCTTGGACATGCAGTGAGCAAGGAAGGAGTGCGGGCAGATCCTGCGAAGATAGAGGCACTTCTTGACTCCCCTCTGCCAAGAAACCGCAGAAAAGAAAGGAAGTCCAAAGGTTTCTGGGTCTTGCTGGATGGTACCATTGTTTCGTCCACAACTTTTCAATGATTGCTGAGCCGCTTAATGCACTGAAGAAGAAAGGAGCCATATTTCAGTGGATAAATGAGAGTCAGACGGCATTTCAATGTCTTAAAGACCATCTGACCTCACCTCGTTTTTAACACCACTAAAGCAAACTCCAGGCTTATTCGCTGGGCTCTGCATCTGCAGGAGTTTTTGTTCATTATCAAATATTGCACGGGTAAATTGAACAATGCTCCCGATGCTCTGTCGAGAGCCATGGTCCATACCCCTCTGGCATTGTACACCTTACCTCTGGGCAGTGATGAGAAGTTTCAGTTCTTATTTTCATTTATTATGTGGTTGGGAACTAGGCCTCAGTCACCTTTCCCCTGAGGCCTGTGAAAACGGTATTGCCACATAATTAACAGTGATCATCTTCCTTCGTCATTTCAATGTGACTTTCTAGTTAAATGAAGGTTTCAGATATGATGTGTATGGCTTCTGTCATTTGGCCAACAGCTTGCTGTCGGAGGAAAAATGGAGGTGCAGGGTCTCACCTTGTCTTTAAGGAGTCCTCTGGGTCCAATGACTCGATCAAAGATGTGTTGTCCCACGTGAGCATCAACGGCCGACAGCGGGTCATCCAGCAGGTAAACATCGGACTTCCTGTAGACGGCCCGAGCTAGACTAACCCTCTGCTTCTGACCTCCGGACAGATTCAGACCCTGCAGTCAGTAAAGACATCATCAATAAACAGAAGCAAAATACAGTCAAACTGTCAATAATTAACATTTATAGTAAAAAACTGTCAACAACAAGCAGCCAATACTGAATAGTTAACATTAAACAGTCAGAGCGTCTGTACTGAGGTACACATCAGCCCTCTAAACAAACACACAGTCTGGGCTTAGGTTGCCATGGACAGACCAGGACCCAGAGGCAGTGTTGATACCTTCTCCCCAATCTCAGTGCTGTCTCTAGCGGGCAGGATGTCCAGGTCCGGTAGCAGAGCGCAGGCTTCCAGCACACAATGGTACCAGCTCTCCTTCCTCTCTCCACAAAACAAAATGTTGTCCTTCAGAGAGGCGTTCTGGATCCAAGCTTGCTGGGGGACGTAGGCCACTGAACCCTGCACCAGTCAAAAGTCAAGTCAAGATTCTGCTGTAAAATACATAAATCCAACAGAGGGATCTTCACTTTTAAATAGGAGAGTATTGATTTTCAAATCTTCTCTGGAAGCTTCACTAGAAGCAGCTGATAACTGCAGCTGCTACCCCTGCCACTCCTGTAGAAATATGGAACTCCTGTAGCACCACATGCAGGCAAAAAAAACTATGCCACAGACCTGCTGAACAAATTCAACTGTTAAAGTTTGGTTTTGTGCTGCTCAGGGTCTCTCAGTCTATGTGATCGAAGATGCATATGCAGGTAACATTTGGTATTGCAATAACAGACCCAAGGATATTGTGTTGGCTGGAAAATGTGACCTAATCTCACCCAGACAGAGCACTGCACATGCTCAGTATTTCTCTCCCTTGAGATGACATCACACACACAAAGTTTTATAAAACTTAAACCTTCACAGTTTAAAATAAAGACAAATGTTACCTTGATGGAGACGAAGCCACACCTCCTCTCCATCTCTCCCAAAATGACTGATAGCAGAGATGACTTCCCTGAGCCAACATGGCCGACAACCGCCACCAGGGAGCCCGTCTTCACCTTCATGTTGATCCTCTGCAGACATGGCGGCCCACCACTGGTCCAGGAGAAGTACCCGCCCTCAATCACCACAGCGTCTCCATCTGTAGAAAGAACATGGTTCCACCTGGTTCCTCCACACAAAGTTCACCCTGCTTCCAGTCTTTATGCTAAACTAACAGTTTCCCCCTGCTTCCAGTCCTTGTGCTCAGGCTAGGCTTGAGGTTTTGGTACTGGACACACCGGTGAAACTGATTCCTGTCCCGTTAAGTTGGGCAGGTGGTATCGTACCTCTGCTGTGAGGGAGTCTGTCCACGTTGTCGGGCTTCATCTCGTCTTGGCACAGGAAGTTTCTCAGACGTCTTAGAGAGATGATGGCCTGAACGTGATAAAACAGATCCGTCATAGAAACAATGAACACATCATGTTCAAGTACATGTTCAGCACTTGTGGGGTGGCTGTTACTCAGGAGGTAGAGCAGGTTGCCCGTTAACCTGTAGGTCGGCGGTTCAATCCCTGGCTCCTCCAGGCTGCATGTCAAAGTTGGGTAAGATACTGAACCCCGAATTGCCCCTGGTGGCTGTTCCACCAGCGTGTGAATGTGTGTGAGTGGTGAATGCAGATGTAGTGTAAAAGCGCTTTGAGTGGTCGAAAGGCTAGCAGTAAAGACTTTGAATGAGACAATTGTATAAAAACAACTTCCTTCAAACTATTCTGCACAAGCAGCAGAGTTAGTTACACTGACAGAAACAAGTATATAATATCCATCCAGAGGCAAACCTATCGCTCACACACTGGTTGCTGAACTTCTTGATGCTGTGCTGTTGCCCAAAATGATTGCTGAGTGTAATTGTGACGCCCACATGAACAACCTTGATCCTATCTCACAGGGGAACGCCAGAGCTGACCTTGCAGCAAAGGCTGCAGCAAAACTGACGTCAATCTCTCAGTGTACACTTTTAACTGACCGGGCATTGACTTCTAAGCTGCAGGCATTGCAGACGAGAGTGACTCCAGTTTGGAAAATGTTATTTGGTACGTCCCAGATGAGACGCCAGCCTGCTGTATCTGTTACCTTCTGATGCTGAATTGACACATGGTAAAGACCACGTTACAAAAGGGAGTGTGACAGGAGCTGAACAGATAAATGTTTCAGAGACACTAGGAGTTAGGGCAGCTTCTACTTGGGGGCTTCCTTTGTTGACAGGAAGTTAAAAATCATGGCTGAGGAACTCAAACTCTGAGACATCAGCATGGTCAGCTTTGGGGTTTCCACAGCAAGATTTTGGAACAGGTCTCATAACTCAGCAGGGGGTTCCCAAGCCCATCATGACAACGAATCCAACAGCCCGGACTGGCATGGTGTTTTCAGAAGGTGGTGTTTCACACCAAGAAATTGCTTTCTGGGGACATCACTGTGCAAGCAAATGGTTACAGCAACCTGTGGCACCATGTGTAATGACGAAGCTACGGAGGTGTGTAGATGGGCGCAGCTGAACATCGCACAGCTGAACCTGATGGACACCACCAGCTTGCACCACCCAGGAAGTGACAAGCCAGTCCTTGCGATTCCCTCATCTGAGGAGGCTGTGGATTGCTGAGGCAACACGTGTGGGTATGTGGACAACATGCATATCAGTCTTATCAGAGACACGGATGGTATGGGACGTGTTATCTTGTGAACCTGATGATCTCTTCAATTCAATTTTATTTATATAGCACCAAATCACAACAACAGTTATCTCACAGCGTTTTTCATAAAGAGCAGGTCTAGACCGAACTCTATGATGTTATTTACAGAAGCCCAACAGTTCCCACCAAGAGCAGCACTAGGAGACAGAGGCAAGGAAAAACTTCCTTTTAAGAGGCAGAACCATGGCTCAGGGTGGGCGGCCATCTGCCTCCACCGGTTGGGGTGAAAGAGAGAGAGAGAGAGGGCAAGAGAGGAACAGAGAGAAAAACAGAGGGATGGAAGGAGAGAGAGAGGTGAGGGAGGCAGCCTACACAATATCCACACAGAGGTACAGACAGTAAAGGTGATGTTGCTATAGACTAAATGAAAAATGGTACAGATATTTATAGTAGTGTTAATGATAATAATTGTAATGTTAATGATTATAATAACAATAATAACAACAGGACTAGTAACAATAGTCGTTGTAGCAGAGGGTGTCGAGCAGGAACACGGGGGCAGCAGGTGACCCGCAACCACAGATCCAGACTCCACAGCTCCAGAGCCAGAAAACCTGCAGGAAGTGATAGGAGGAGAGAGGAGAGGGACGAGAAAGCACAAGACTACCAGAAAGGGGAGAAGTTGTGTTAGTAACATGCAATAATGGGATGAAGTTGCATCTGTCACCATCCTACCCTCTGAGTCATTTCCACACTCACTACTATGGCAGAGCAAGGCGCTCAACCACCAGAGTTTCGGAAGCAGAGAAAGGCTTCGGTGGCTTCCTCCCCTGGTGGGGGTCTGTGAACAATGGACTAAGATAGATGGACTGGCTATTGAACTTGAAAACCTGACAGCCCGGGTGGAAGTGGGTTTTCCACCCCAACTGTGCAGGGCATCAGAAAAGTAGCAAAACAGAATGGCAATGGACCTGATGCTGGTGAGTCGTTACGTTTATTAATTTAGCTAACGCTTTTATCCAAAGTGACTTACAATTGCTGTATATATCAGAGGTCGCATGCCTCTGGAGCAACTAGGTGTTAAGTGTCTTTCTCAGGGAGACATTGATGGATGTGTCACAGTGGGAAATTGAACCTGGGTCTTTCACACCAAAGCCATGTGTCTCATCCACTCCACCACCATCCCCCCAAGGCGGAGTTTGCCACACTATTGGAACGGACTGTTGAGGGTACGCCCCAGATGTCTCAGACGCCATGACTCATGTTGTCTCACATCTGAATGATCTGCTGCATGAAGAGAAAAGCCAGGACTCACATGCAACATGTGGACCACAGGTGGATGGAAGAATGTGCCGATAAAAGGGTTGAAATGTACATGGAGTGTTGCTGTGAGTCCTTCTGCAGAAAACTGTAATAAAATTCATTGAAAAACCTGAGCTGTTAATTTGAAAACTCGACTTGCCATCTCCCCCACCCCCGAGTACATCTCCAGACTGTGCCCACTCTGATGCAGACTCTAGTCCACGCCTTTTCATCCACATGCTGTACTGCCCTCTTCTCAGCTGTTAAACAGACTCCAAAACGTCCAGAGCTCGGCTGCAGGAGTTCTCTGCCACCTTTGGTCCTGGGAGCACATCATCACAACCCTCCAGCAACCCACAAGCTCCCAGGTAAATCATGCATCTGCTCCATGGCCTTCTTATCAGATCTACGCTGTTCCTACACACCTACTTGCTCATGACGTTCCTCTCTTGTTCTGATCGTCTTCTCTCCATCCCCTTCGTCGGACCTGGACTCGGCCCAGGTGTGTTATGACCACCTGTTTCATTTTAAGCTTTTCAAATTCAGATATCGGTGTTTGACGATTTCCTTCGCATAGACGCTAAAGATCCCACAGAAATTTACATTTAAAAACATTTTAATGCTTAGCTTAAAGTAAAATATCATTTCTCAAACTCCAGTTTTCTCTCCTGACCCGAGGTGGAGGCAGAAATGACACATATCTACAGAGGATAGAAAAAAATATTTCCTGCAATTTGACGTTTCTGATTGGCTGGAACTTGCCTGCATGGTGGTGCTCATGGCGAAGGGGAGCTGACTCAGAGGAGTTTTCAGGATGTTGATGAGAGCAACAGAAACAAAAATCTTCTGAGCATCCAGAACGTTTTGCTCATCGATCAGCACATAAACTCCAAACACTGAAAAGGCAACCTGAACAGAAAAAAAATCAGAGGAAGAAAATACATCACACAGATGTTTAGAGTTCAGATCCAGTTTAAATTTGATGAAAACATCTGAAGCCAGCTCAGTTCTGATTGGCTGGCAGACGTTGGTGGCTCCTAATTGGGACAATTACTATGAACAAGAAACCTCAAAAAACATCTGGTCACAGGTGTGGGTAACCATGGCAGCACTTGATGTCAGACAAAACCATGTGAATTATATGTAAAGCAGAAGGTCAAGATGTTGTTTATGGATGATAAAGGGACAGAGATACGGAGATACGATGATGTCTAATATGCCTGTGTAGTGAAATGACTGAGGGCGACTCAGGCCTGAAGCCAGCATTGGCTTACTCTGATGAAGAGGGCAGACGTTCTACCTGAAGCCTCTGATTTGTCTGTTCACTAACACGAGCAGCTGGCTTCCAGGTGTGAACGTCTGAAGGCTTTTAGTGTTTCAGAGAGTTTTGAATCTCCGGATTGACCGGACTCACACTAATGTGTGCTCAGGTAAACCTCAGTCAGACGTGAGTCTGTGTAACCAGACCAGAAGCTGGTTGCATCTGGACCAGACGGCTGTGAGACTCACCAGGAAGGAGGTGGAGTTAAAGGAAGCCAGAGAGACAGAGTAGAGGATCTGAGATTTCTTCAGGGCGTTGAGTTCTCCGTCTCTCAGAATGCAAACACGTCGAAGGAAAGCTTCTTCCCAGGCATAAAACTTCAGGATCTTCACACCGCTCAGGATTTCATTCATCAGTTTGATCCGACCGTCCATGAACTTCATCTGAACCTCCTGAAAAACAAAACATTGTTCACCTTTTAACCAGTCAGAGGAGAGGGCCGAGAAAGCACAAGACTACCAGAAAGGGGAGAAGTTGTGTTAGTAACATGCAATAATGGGATGAGGTTGCATATAGAGGGAGAGAAAGTAGAGGAGAGAGGAGCTCAGTGCATCATGGGAAATCCCCCAGCAGTCTAGGCCTATAGCAGCATAACTAAGGGATGGTTCAGGACTCACCTGAGCCAGCCCTAACTATAAGCTTTATCAAAGAGGAAAGTCTTAAGCCTACTCTTAAATGTGGAGATGGTGTCTGCCTCCTGAACCCAAACTGGAACCTGGTTCCACAGGAGAGGAGCTTGATAGCTGAACGCTCTGGCTCCTAGTCTACTTTTGGAGACTCTAGGAACCACAAGTAACCCTGCATTCTGGGAGCGCAGTGCTCTGGTGGGGTAGTAAGGTACTATGAGCTCTTTAAGATAAGATGGTGCCTGACCATTAAGAGCTTTGTAGGTAAGAAGAATGATTTTAAATTCTATTCTGGATTTTACTGGAAGCCAATGCAAAGAAGCTAAAACAGGAGAAATGTGATCTCTTTTCCTGGTTCCTGTCAGAACACGTGCTGCAGAATTCTGGGTCAGCTGAAGACTCTTAATGGACTTTTTTGAGCAGCCTGATAATAAGGAATTGCAATTCACACTGTGGGCATGTCTGTTCTGCTTTGTTCATTTAGTCTTCAGTCATGTTATTTGTAGTCCCTTCTGTATCTGTTATTTAGTCTGTGTTTTGGTTCCATGTCTTAGTTCCCAGTCCGGTGTTAATGTCTTAGTAGTTACTCCTGGTCCGTGTACTTCGGTGTTTGTTATTTTGATCTGTTCAGTATCTGTCTTAGAGTTGTTGAGTTTTGGGTTTGGCCCTGTCTGTTGTTCTTTGTCCAGTATCTGTTATATAGTCTGTTTTCCCCTGTTCTCTCCCTGCCTGCCTGTGTCTCCTTAGTCTCATGTCTGTCACCTGTGTTGCTCCCACCCTGCTCATTAGTCCCTGGTGTATATATGTTTGCTGTTTCTCTTCAGTCCTCGTCCGGTCATTGTCGCGTGTATACGCTCTGTCCCTTGTTGTCATGGTTGTAGTTTGCGCTGTCTTGTCCTGTTACCTGCCTGTCCCCTCTTAGTTCTTGGTATTGGACTTTCTATGTTCATTTTTGAATTAGTCTCAGCCACTCTGCCAGTAAGTGTGCTATTGTTTGTTTATGGAATAAACCCCTTTTTGAAATGTACCTCCTCTGCTCTGCGTCCTGCGTTTGGGTCCACCACCCTGCTTACCCTTCTCAACCACCACAATCCTGACATTGCAGTAATCCAGCCTAGAAGTAACAAATGCATGGACTAGTTTTTCTGCATGATTTTCAGACAGGATATTTCGTAGGTGAAAAAAGGCGGTCCTTGAAATTTATTAATGTGAGACGACATGTCCTGATCAAAGATAACTCCAAGATTCCTCACAGTGGTGCTAGAGGCCAGGGCGATGACTAACTTTGGCGTGCATGGAGGATTCATCGTTAACATGTACAAACTGAAATCGATCTGATAAATAGGACTTAAACCAGCAAGAAAAAAACCCAACAAACTCTCACCTGCAACTTGCTTCTCACTTTAGCGATGAATCCATTCAGAGGGAATATCAGAACAACAACAGTAATACCAGCAAGAGCAGATGGACCAAGGAGCTGTCAATCAATAAATCAGTAAATCAATCAATCGAGGCAATAACAGAAGGACTGTCAATCAATCAGTCCCAGAGAGGCTGTCATCATGATGTCACAGCTGATCAATTCATAGTTTTCAGTCATGTGACATGCGCGGTGACCTGGAGAGATGCCGCAAAAGCCATTAAATTTTATTTTAGTCAGCTAAAGAAAGAAGAGATAGTCATGGACACAAACTGGGCACTTGCGATCCATATAAACACCCACAGGTCCCTGCCAGCGCTCTATTGTGGTAATGTTTACGTTTAGCTTGTAGGGAATCCCTCACCTAACACATTTCAGGCTAGTCTCCTTGTTGAGCGAGCGTTTTTATCTTGAATGTGACATCACGTGAAAACTATGAATACTCCATCTGTGATCACAACATTAGATGAACATCATGTTTCTTTTTTCTACCTGCCACAGGAAGTAGAAGCAGAGTGCGATCTCGATGGGAGCGATCCAGAGACAGTTGAAATAAACCACAAAGTCCATCAGCTTCTGAGTGTCGGCCGAAACCAGGTTAATGATCTCTCCCAAAGTACAGCGCCGCCGAGCTGCACTGCTGATCAGCAGACTCTGAGGATTCAAACACACACACTGAAATGTTAATGCCCAGGAGTTTCCAGGTGTTTCCAGGAGTTTCCAGAGGGAGCTGTGTGACATCTGATAAATGTCCTCAAGTGATGTCACCTGAGGCAGCGTTGGCTGAAAACCATGAGTTTGAAAGAGAAACCACTGTGTTGGTGTGCAGTGACACAGCCCAGTCCCAGAGAGAGAGAGAGATGCATTGTGGGTAATGTAGGCACCAGGTTTTGTGGAATAAAAAAGAGGATATCTCTGGTTCTGTATTGATTTAAAATGTGAGTGCGACACTATGGAAGCCTACAGGGGACTATATTAAAATGAAAATGTAATTCCACAACACGATTCCAATTTTCCATGTTTGTGTTTTTTTTAAATGAAAATGCAATTATCTAATTAGCACATTCATTTTCACCTAAATATCTATGACCATATAAAAATCCACCCATGGCGGTCAATAGAACTTGTAAATGTTAACGAAGCAGGTCACTGAACAAGGAAGTCTTAACTGAAGACCTGACTGACTGCGTTCTGATCCACGGTGAGCAGAACCAGTACTCCTACTTCCTGCTCAGGGAATGTCGGTTAGGGGAACTTCCCTCAACAAACTTCTTCCAATAGGAATCTCTTCCTCTGTGTGTTGGCCTGATAACATAAACACCTCGAACATTTACTGAGAAAAATTTTATATTTAATATCAAACTGATACCATTCGAACAACAACAACTTCTATTTCTAGAACTCCTTCAAATTATTTTCAGTTGTCTCTCTGTCTGTCTCAGTCTGTCTGTTACCTTCCTGTAGACGAGTCCCATGATGGCCGTCTTCAGTCTCATCCCTACAGTGAAGCAGTGGAACATGTACTGATGATGGAGGAGAGACTGCAGACAGGACAGCAGGAAGAGCAGCGAGGCAAACATGAAACCTTTCCACATCTCAGCGTCTTTGTCTCGCATGAATGCCAGCAGCAAGCTGATGACGACAACAGCAACAAACAGTAAACTATAAACAACAATACAGATAAACAGAAACAATAAACTCTAGCATGTCCGTGTCAACAGCTGACTACAAACGCAAACTACTCCCAGCCAGGACAAACTCACCTGTGAGGCTGAACGTTTCAGACTGAGCCACAACGTCAGTAAACATACCTCAGAAACTCACCTGAGCACCTGAGGGACGGCAAACATGAAGGTCTCATGCAGAAGGAGACACAGCGTCCCACACAGGAAGTACGTCCCGACACTCTGCCACAAAGCACGCAGGACCAAGAGGCCATAGCCCTGCCCCTTCCTGTTCTTACTCAGCAGCCTTGTTTTTTCTGTCAGCACAGCTGAACCACCAGACCAGGACCAGGATAGGGACCGGGAATGAGACAAGGATGGTCCAGAACCAGAAAGCTCCTCCCTGCAGAACATCAAAACTAATTTCTAATTTTGACCATCTGTCTATAAGCTACACCCGCAGGAGGGATGCAGCCAATCCCATCTGACATTTGGCATGAGGCTGGTCACACCTCGACAGGACACACCTGGCCAGACTGGACAAGTCAAGCTCAGAGCCGACACACAGAGACTGACGTCCAGTGGCGCTACATTCACTGTGTTATGTACAAATTCATGTTTCAGGAAGAAGCCTCCATGTTTTCAGGTGTCCTCCTGTCCATTTCCTTTTCCTCCAGCTGTTTCACATTAAAAGCCTTCCAGTGAGTCAAGGGGCTTTTATTTGGAAACATCTGCAGGAAGTGTTGAGTGTCACAGACAGCAGACCGAAGGAATCGGGCTCAGCGGTGACATCACCAACTGTCTTTATTTTATTGCTCGGTATGTTTTTCACGTGTTAACCTTTATGTTAAACATCAACAACAATGCATCTCAGTGGAAAATATAAAGTGTCGTACTGTGGCTCTTTGTAGTTCTGAGACCAGAACTTCTCCAACTCTGTCATGATCCAGATCGAGGAGTCCTGGTTCCGTAGAGGCCACATGTCTGCAGCCTGCAGGGGGTACCGGTAACCCCGAACCACCAAACTGACATGATGACAACAAAGAAATGTTATTAATAACAATGATGATATTAGTCTTAGATCTTTGAGTTCAGCTCAGGGCAAAAAGTGTTGTCTTTATAATTTTGTTTAGTGTGTGTGTGTGTAGATATATGTACACACACACACACACACACACACACACATTCTATTTTTATATTGTCCACCACTACTACTTGTACTATAAGACTTTCTCTATGTACACAAAAGGCCGATTTCTCGCAAATATTGTTCACAAGTGTTAGTGAGCACTTCTCCTTTGCTGAGATAATCCATCCACCTCACAGGTGTGGCATATCAAGATGCTGATCAGACAGCATGGGGATTGCACAGATGGGCCTTAGGCTGACCACAATAAAAGGCCACTCTAAAATGTGCAGTTCCATCACACAGCACAACGCCACAGATGTTGCAAGTTTTGAGGGAGCGTGCAATTGGCATGCTGACTGCAGGAATGTCCACCAGAACTGTTGGTCGTGGATTGAATGTTCATTTCTCTAACATAAGCCGTCTCCAAAGGCATTTCAGAGAACTTGGCAGTACATCCAACCGGCCTCAAAACCGCAGATCACGTGTAACTACACCAACCCAGGACCTCCACATCCAGCATCTTCACCTCCAAGATCGTCTGAGACCAGCCACCCAGACAGCTGCTGCAACAATCTGTTTGCATAACTAAAGAATTTCTTCACAAACTGTCAGGAACCATCTAAGGGAAGCTCATCTGCATGCTCATCGTCCTCATCGGGGTCTCGACCTGACTGCAGTTCGTCGTCGTAACCGACTTGAGTGGGCAAATGCTCACATTCAATGGCGTCTGGCATTTGTTCTCTAATCAGATGGCAGACAGCGTGTATGGCGTTGTGTGGGTGAGCGGTTTGCTGATGTCAAAGTTGTAGATCGAGTGGCCTATGGTGGCGGTGGGGTTATGGTATGGACAGGCGTGTGTTACGGACAACAAAAACAGGTGCATTTTATTGATGGCATTTTGAATGCAGATATGATATGATGAGATACCGTGACAAGATCCTGAGGCCCACAATATCCACACAGAGGTACAGACAGTAAAGGTGATGTTGCTATAGACTAAATGAAAAATGGTACAGATATATATAGTAGTGTTAATGATAATAATCATAATGTTAACGATTATAATAACAATAGGACTAGTAACAATATTCGTTGCAGCAGAGGGTGTCGAGCAGGAACACGGGGGCAGCAGGTGACCCGCAACCACAGATCCAGACTCCACAGCTCCAGAGCCAGAAAACCTGCAGGAAGTGATAGGAGGAGAGAGGAGAGGGACGAGAAAGCACAAGACTACCAGAAAGGGGAGAAGTTGTGTTAGTAACATGCAATAATGGGATAAGGTTGCATACAGAGGGAGAGAAAGTAGAGGAGAGAGGAGCTCAGTGCATCATGGGAAATCCCCCGGCAGTCTAGGCCTATAGCAGCATAACTAAGTGATGGTTCAGGACTCACCTGAGCCAGCCCTAACTATAAGCTTTATCAAAGAGGAAAGTCTTAAGCCTACTCTTAAATGTGGAGATGGTGTCTGCCTCCTGAACCCAAACTGGAACCTGGTTCCACAGGAGAGGAGCTTGATAGCTGAACGCTCTGGCTCCTAGTCTACTTTTGGAGACTCTAGGAACCACAAGTAACCCTGCATTCTGGGAGCGCAGTGCTCTGGTGGGGTAGTAAGGTACTATAGCTGTGTCTCAAATCAGGGACCGCATCCTTCGAAGGGCGTGACCTTTGCGGCCTACGAAGGCATACAGCCGCAAAGGCCAATGTTGTTAAATGAGACAGAGGACTGTCTATCTGCATCACCAACTGGCCCCGCCCTTACCCTTCCGTGGTGAAGCGCTGCTCCTGTCGCCTAGCAACCTTCACAGCTGCTGTCCACCAGTATGGAGACGAATATCCTAATTTTAATATTTTCTCTCTTAACAGCGGAGCTACTTCACCGCATGATGTATCTCTGTCACGGACTGGGGCGAGGACCCAAATGCAGACAATGGCAAAGCGAGGAGGTTGCAGTTGAAAAATATGTTTATTAATTCAAAAAACTAACTTAAACAGGCTTACAAGGAGCTCGGGGCAAAGTCCAACAAAGGTAGTCCAGAACACAAGGTGATCCAAAACACAGGGACTAATCCAGAACAAGGAAGACAAAGGAACAGGCAGGAACACTCAACTTTAGACGCAAGGACGTGACAAAGACTGGAGAGACAAGCAGGCATACATATACACAGGGACTAACGAGCGCGGCGGGAGCAACACAGGTGAGCGGGATCAGGACTAACGAGGCAGAGAGACAGCAGGGGGAAACAGAGAGAACACTAGACAAGCAGACATGGGGCAGAGTGAATAACCAAGAAGACAGAAACACACACAAGTTACAAAGAACCAGAACCTAAACAAGAACACAGAACTAGAACACAGAGGAGACCAAATCACAATAATACAAACAAGGACCAGGAATGAATACCAAAACATGAACTAAGGACATGGAACTAAACTCAGACTCCCAAACAAGACACACAGACAGGATCATGACTATCTCAGGCTGAGAGAGGACCCTGGCCAGGTAAATACGGGGGAAAGTAACTAAGAAAACTTTACATTTTATATGTATTTAGGTACTATAGGCTTGCTAAAGCTAACAGTGATGTTAACCACAATTAACGTAGTTTATTTCTACTACTATTATTTACTACTACTATTTCTCCTTTTTCTCCCTAAACCAGCCCCGGCCCCTGTACTGCAGGATAAATCTGAGTGTTCCTGTGCTGGACAGGTTTTTTAGCCAGCAGGACACGGCCCGATTTCCGGTTGAGCAGGGAGGCCCTGGGAGTGTTACTGGGCCTAAACCAGGAACAGAGAGATGGATGGGGTGTCACCATTGAGACCCTGGGGTTTCTCTTCTGGCTGGCAAGTGTGGCATAATACAGGGTGGTCTCCAGAGTGTTTGCAATGCCTCGATCCACTGTCCACCACATCGTCCAGATTCACTGAGGAGGTGGTGGCCATTCGCCACAAAGTCATCCACCTACCGAAGACCCAGGATGAGTTACAACCGATATCCCGTGGGTTTGCAGGGCTGGCAAGAAACAGAGCCTTTTTTAAAGCAGCTGGAGCACTCGACGGCTGCCATGTCCGCATCAAGCCACCGAGCGGCCCTGATGGTCAGTGCTACAGGAACAGGAAACTGTTTTCATCCTTCATCCTGCAGGCTGTCTGTGACCATCAGGGCCGCTTCATTGACACCTGCGTGGGCTGGCCTGGGTCGGTCCACGACTCCAGAGTGCTCCGCTACAGCCCACTGTACAGGAGTTCACTCTACCCTCCTCAAGGGCATTTCATCCTTGCAGACGGATGTTTTTTTCCAGACTGAAATATATTTTTAACCATTTCAGGCCATAACAGCATGTGTCATCCTCCACAACATCTGCCTTGGGGCTGGTGAAATTGTGGCCCCAGAGGATGAGCCTGAGGAGGACGAGGCAGTGGATGAGTGGGAGAATGGTTTGGAGACGGTCACAGAACACACCAGGGTCTTTATTGTGGCAGCTCATCCAGGTCCAGCATCATCACCAGGGTCTCCCTGCTCAGTGGAATAAATGTTGTAAATATGTTGTAAATAGTTCAAAAGAAAATAAAATCATTTATTTAACAAATATTTTATTTGAATTGATTAATAAATATTGTATATATAATTATGTAAGGATTTATTTTTCTCTAGTAGAGAGAACAGCCTGTCCATCCTCACCTCTGCCTCTCTCTGCAACCTCATGTCTTCCTTGAGAAGCTGAAGCAGCTCATCCTCTCTGTCCCTCTTTCTCTTTCTCGGCTGGCTCTCCTCCTGCTCCTCTTCCTCCTGCTCCTCTTCCTCCTGCTCCTCCTCCTGGTCACCCACTGCAGCACTTGGCCCTGGTGTGTCCTCAGGGATAGAGGCAATTACGACAGGTGGGGAGGTGGAATGCTTCTGTCCCAACACCTCATCCATGAGGACAAACCAGGGCCAAGTTGCAGCAGTGGGCTTCCCCCCTACACCCTCTCCTGACCCTGGACACTTGCAATCCTAGGCACAGGAAATCAATCATGGTAAATAACAACAGCAGAAAAACTAATTTCAGCAACTGTGTTTGTTAACAGGCATGGCTAAAATGAATGAAATGAATATACGACGTACAAGGTAAATTTATTATTATTATATTAAAACAGGGTTGTAAGATGAATGCAGTTTGTAGTTCCCTTTATGCTACATAATGAACGATTTACACAAAAAAAAATATAATGAATATAAATATAAAATCACACATACATACTTTTTAAAAAATTGTCCCACTTTTTTTGCTTGGAGGGAAATCACCTTCCCCCACAGGCCCATTTTCTCCAAAATTGTCCTAATCACAGGAGAAACAAAAGAAATGGTAATTTTTTGAAGACTGGAAAAGGTGACAGGGCAGGACAGAGACACAAAAACACAACAAAGGGCTGCCCCATCTGCTAGTTGTATTATTGTTACAGGCTTTGAATAGGATGGGGGCTCATTTAACTGTAACTTTAAGTACACAATGATTAAATGCAGATATATCAAAAGGGTGGTCGCTCTCCCCCCTCAGTTTAATAAAGAGGGCAGTTTGCTCCTTGCTCCCTAAAACAAGATGAAATTTTCAAGTAAGATTTTGCTTCACATCACCAAACAGTAAGCAGCATAAATCGCAAAATTACCTAGTTACATTAACTGTGTACTATATCTCAAGGTTTTTGCAACGGCTACTAACGTTAACTGTCCAAGCAGGGTTCACAACCTGTCTAATGTTACATCAGTCTAACGTTACGTGGTATTTTTATGTACACAATATGTAAGTAATATAAGTATAAGCGACGTATAATATCGCCACAATCTCGGTAAGACGAAGGTCAGACTCTGAACC